GGGCCTGGCTTCTACTGCACTATATTTTATGTGGAACAAAAGCTTCTTGGTGAATAATGTGGAATCTAAGGACCAGGGACATCATATATGGAGAGGAGAAGGGGACTCCATTACCTGCCAACAATACCAGGCCTATTTGCAGGAATACAGGTTAATTTTCTGTTTCTACCTCTGGGGGGTAAAATTGTTTTTTGGGAGATGTAAAATAGAATTTGAGGGGCAAATGGGAACAGCCCACATTTTGAATGAAATGTTGTTTGGTTTCCGATTTTCTGGCCTTCTCAAGTTTCTGCTAACCTTGGTATACTTTTTTTTCCTTCATCAACTTAGGGAAGTCTAGTACTGAAGCCATTATCTTCCCATCCAAAGATGGAATGTGGTGGAATGATTTGGTGGGGTGTGGTTGACTTGGAATGGAAGGGACCTGGGCCTCAGGCACTTATTAGTTATGGGACCCTGTAAAACGCAGCTAATAAGGGCACTTCGGTCAAAGTGTTGTAAATATGAGGTGCAATAAGGTAGGTAAATCCTTCTGTAAACCTTAAATGATACATAGGATCTCAGAGCTAGAGAGGGAAGGAGGGTCAGTGGCTTTCTAGTTCAACTCTATCATTTTACAGATGAATAAACTGAGGCTTATGAATGTTGAATGACTTGGCTTAGGTCATACAGGTAGGAGGCATCGGAGGCAGGATTTGAACCCTTGTTATATGACTCCAGAGCTGGAACGCTTATTACCATAATATGGTGCTAGAAGCAACTAAGTGGTGCAGCGGATACTTGGAGTCAGGAAGACATGAGATCAAAAGGAAGAAAGTCGCAAGAAAGAATTAAGTAAATGAAAAAAAAGTATGCCTCAATCTGCATTCAGAGTCCACCAGTTTTTTATCTGGATGTGGACAGCGTTTTCCTTCATGAGTCCTTTGTACACGTCTTGGATCATTGTGTTGCTGAGAAGAGCTCAGTCATTCATAGATAATCATCACAAAATGTTGCTGATACTGTGTACAGTGTTTTCCTGGTTCTGCTTATTTCCCTTTGTATCAGTTCCTACAAATCTTTCCAGGTTTTTCTGAAATCTACCTGTTCACCATTTCTTATTGCACAATAGTCTTCCATTACATACATATACCACAGCTTGTTCAGCCATCCCCCTTAAAGTGTTATGCTTAATTTCACTGGGTAGGTGATTCTTGGTTGTAGTCTTAGCTCCTTTGACTTCTGGAATATCATGTTCCACGACCTTCATTCCTTTATGTTGCAGCTGCTAAGTGCTGTGTAATCCTGATTGTGGCTCCCTGATATTTGAATTGTTTCTTTCTGGCCATTTGCAGCATTTTTCCCCCCTTGACCTGATAGTTCTATAATTTGGCTATAGAAGGATTTCCAGCTTTCATAAGGAAAAAACCAGAAATGAACAAAGAATTTGATCTTCAACATTGAGACCCAAAAGAAGCCTCAAAAGGGAAAAGGGCAAAGAAAACATAAGTGATTCAATAGAGCTGAACTGTTTATATCCCTACATGGGAAGATGATATGTATAATTCTTAAAAATTGTGCCACTAATAACATACCTAGAAGGAATATACATAGACAGAAGGTACATGTATAAGGTGGAGTTGAGGGAAAGACATAAAAAAAATAATGAATGAGAAAAAGGAGCATACTTGGTGCAGAAGGAAGGGAGAGCTAGAAGGTGGTCAATTATTTCACATGAAGAGGCACGAAAAATCTATTACAGTGGAGGGAAAAATGGGAGGGTGAGCCATGAGCATCGTTTGAACCTTACTCACATCAGTGTTGACTCAAAGAAGGAATAATATATACAATCTGTTGAATATAGAAATCTGTCTTACCTGACAGGAAAGTAGGAGGAGAGCAGATTAACTAAAGTAGGTGGGGACTGACAGAAGAGGGGACAGACTGTGGGAGGTGGCAGACAGAAGCAAAATACTGTAAAGAAGGGAAAGAGTGAAGGGAGAGAGAGGACAAACAGGAGGAGAAATAGGATGGAGGGGAATACACAGTTAGTGATCATAACTGTGAATGTGAATGGGATAAACTCTCCCATAAAATGGAAGTGGATAGCAGAGTGGATCAAAAGCCAGAATCCTACAATATGTGGTTTACAAGAAACACACTTGAAGCAGAGAGACACATAGAGAATAAAATTAAGGGGTACAGCAGAATCTGTTATGCTTTAGCTGAGGTAAAAAAAAAAGCAGGGGTAGCAATCCTGATCTCAGACAAAGCAAAAGCAAAAATAGACTTAATTAAAAGAGATAAGGAACCAAACTGCATCTTGCTAAAAGGTACCATAGGTAATGAAGTAATATCAACATTAAACATATATGTATCAAGTGGTGTAGCATCCAAATTCTTAAAGAAGTTAAGTGATTACAGGTTCATGACCAAATGAGAGATAGAGAGCATTACAAAATGTCAAATAGATAATTTTGATTACTTTAAATTAAAAAGCTTTTGCGCAAACAAAACCAATGTAGCCAAGATTAGAAGGAAAGCAGAAATCTGGGATAAAGGCCTCATTTCTCAAATATGTAGAGAACTGAGTCAAATTTATAAGAATATAAGCCATTCCCCAATTGATAAATGGTCAAAGGATATGAACAGACAGTTTTCAGATGAAGAAATCAAAACTATCTATAGACATATGAAGAAGTGCTCTAAATCACTTTTGATTAGAGAAATGCAAATTAAAACAATTCTGAGATATCACCGCACACCTATCAGGTTGGCTAATATGACAAAAATGAAGATGATAAATGTTGGAGAGGATGTGGGAAAATTGGGACACTAATGCAGTATTGGTGGAGTTGTGAACTGATCTAACCATTCTGGGGAGCAATTTGGAACTATGCCTAAAGAGCTATAAAACTGTGCGTACCCTTTGATCCATCAATACCACTACTAGGTCTGTGTCCCAAAGCGATTATAAAAAAGAGAAAAGGACTTACCTACTCAAAATGTTTATGGCAGCCCTTTTTGTGGTGGCAAAATATTGGAAATTGAGGGGATGCCCATCAATTGGGGAATGGCTAAACAAACTGTGGTATATGTATGTAATGGAATATTATTATGCAATAAGAAATGATGAACAGGTAGATTTCAGAAAAACCTGGAAAGACTTGTATGAACTGATGCCAAATGAAATGAGCAGAACCAGGAAAACATTGTACCCAGCATCAGCAACAGTGTATAATGACAAACTATGAATGATTCAGCTCTTTGTAGCAACACAATGATCCAAGACACTTACTTTATTCTTTTTCATGTTTTTTTTTCCTTTTGATTTGTTTCTTTTTTCACAACTGTGACTAATATGGAAATGTGTTTTACATGATAGCACGTGTATAACCTATGTCAAATTGCCTACTGTTTTTTTGGAAGAAGGGAGAAAAATTTGGAACTCAAAATCTTATAAAAATGAATGCTAAAAATTGTCTTGGCATATAATTGGAGAAAAATGCTATTAATAAAGAGAAAAGGAGCAATGAGTGGAGGCCATGGAAGGAAGAGCCTAGATCAAAGTTCTATCTGAAACTGTACAGTGGTGTACAGGCTCTGCGTGGTGCCTATTTCTTACCTCACTATACATTCCTATCAAATCTTACAGAATTTTCTATGATTGATTATTTATTTGCACATGGTATTTTCCTTGTAGTTTGGGTAAATTGTAAAAATGTAGTCAAAGTAAAGTTATTGATTTGAACTTCAATAAGAATGGCTCTACATCACTGGTCATCTTCAAGCTGAGTAGGTGTAATCATTGTTGGAGATTTTGCAAAAAGAATTTGTGGACTACTTTTCCCCCTCCTTTTTATTGTTAGAAGGGATAGTTCACTGGGTAGGGGGTAGAGAGACAGGGGACAGATTGGTATAGATTGGACTAGATGATCACACTGATGTCCTTTCTGATGATTCAGTGGGTTGTCCTGAAGTATCAACAATTTTGCAGTTTTACTTTGAGCACTCCATTTTATTCATGTCACACAGATTTATTTCCATTAGAATTTTACTCCAATCTCCCAATATGGATAATTAGTATTTTTTTCTTCCCTAAAAAGATGAGATAGTCTCCAGTGGGTAGTGCCTCATTTAGAGGCAATAATTCAATTTGCAATTGAATTGAAGAAATTGAAGAAATATCTAACTGGTTCATCTCTTGTCAACAATTACCTATAGTTTCCTAACTTCAGAACTATTACATGAACTATCACTCTTGCCTCAGAGAGTAATCACAGCAGATAGATGACTTCCTCAGCAGCGATAAATTCCCCAAACCTCCCACTCACTACATAACAGGAGCCCACATCAGTTGATTGTCTGTCCCAGTGAGCAGACCTGGCCTCTGAGGGCCTCTGACTCATAGAGACAGACGCCTTTCTCAGTTGGGGAGCTTTTGCCTTCCACCGTCACCGGTGTGGCCAGTACATCCAATGTGTGTGTAGATGAAAAGCCTTCCTGAGGCATCATTCAGAGCCTGAGTAAGGGATCAAAGTGAGGTCCCTAAAGTTTATTTGATTTATATCCTTCCCCCTCCTGTAATTTCAAAGTGGGAATGATGATTTATTCATTCGTACAGGGACTGATATGCCATTTCACTGTTGTCATCATTAGGCCTTTTTTCCCTCATCTCTAAAAAGTAAAACTCTAAACGCTGTTAGAATTTTTTTTTTAAAGAGAGAGAGAAAAGGAGAATGAGGTTGGTCCTTCAAAAGGATGCAAAGTAGAATGAGTAAAACTAAGAAAGAGTCGTACCTGCCACAATTTTAACACCAGGGTCTGTTTGGAATGACTCCTGGGGAGAAGAGGTGATGCAAGGGGAGACTAACGGGAAAAAGAGCTACCTCAACTTTTATGTTTGGAAAATATGTTTTTCAGATGTTCTTGCATGCCAGAAAAGTGTCTGTATGATAAAGAGACAGCTGTCTGACCTCAAAAGAAGGTGGCCACCTGCCTCCTGGAAATCCTGCTGCTGTCTGGGGCTTCCAAACGGAGCCATCTCAGGATGAAAACGTCCTTCTCTCCCTGCTGGATTTTCTCTTGGAGCCTTTGAACAACCTGCCAAAGGAGAAGGGAGGGGAGCGTGTATGCCAGGTGTACATCACTTTAGAGAGGGAAAACTTTCATCAGCTTCTCTTCCACCTGGCCTGGGGAGATGAACAGAGTCCTCAGGTTACCTGGGAAAACTTAGTGAAAAATTACTCTGCTTTGTCAGAATTTTTCCCCTGGTTTTTATCTTAAAGGAGGCATACGTCACACCCATGTATATGGAACAGTGCCTCCACTTACCTCAAGGCAGAGGAACGATGAGAAGTGCTGTCTCCAGGTGGGCTGGGTAATTGATGCTAACTCAGACTGAGAAGTTCCAACAGCATTAGAAGAAAAGGGGAAGGTGATACTGTCACTCAGAGCAGAGATTAAGGATATCAGGGACAGAAGGAAGAAAGACAATTTTTTTAGTTCCCTTTTTTTAAAGTAATGATGTTGATGACAATGATAACTAACATTTATATAACACTGAGGTTTGCAAAGCATTGTACTAATATCTCATTTTATCTTTGACATGTATTCATATATTTTGTTCATTTATGAATATATCTCTGTTTCTACCTCTACCCAGTGAACTATCCCACCTGACAATGAAAAAAGGAGGAAAAAAAGGTAGTCCGACAAAAACAGTCAATACTTCAGTAGAACCTGGTAGTCTGTTCCACTTACATAGTGCCCATCTCTACCCAATGAAGGAACAGAGGAGCATTTTCTCATCTCTGTTCCGGGGGTCAAGATCAGACATTATAATTCTCTGTCTCTCTTATGAATGCATGTACACATGTATGCATCTGTCTACCTGCCTGTCTCCTTCCCCTGAGCTTCAGTACCATGTCACCGATTGCCTAGTGTACATGTCCAGATGTTCTGGAGACATCTCAAACTCAGTGCGTCCAAAACTGACCTCATTTCCCCGCCTCAAATGCTCCTGTTCTCCCAGCTTCCCCAGTTCTGTCAGTGGAACCACCACTCTTTTGGTTTCCCAGGTTTGCAACCTCAGTTTTAGCCTGGACTTCGCATTCTCCTTCGCCCCACACATCTCATCAGTCATCGAATCTCGCTCTTTCTACCTTCGCAAACCTTTGCTGTCCAGCTTCCATCGCCTCTGCCTGGATAACTGAAACGGCCTCCTCATTGGTCTTGCTGGCTCAAGTCTCTAACCACTCCTGTCCCTCCTACGCGCTGCGGCCAAAGTAATTTTTCTTAAGTGCGGATGTGATCATGTGACTCTTCTACTCAGTCAACTCCAGCAACTTCCTATTTCTTCCACGATAAAAAAGGAACTCCTCTACTTAGCTTTTAGAGCCCTAAACGACCTGGACCTAACCTATCTTTGTAATCTCCTTGAATAATCACCTCATTTTCCTTCCCTTCCTTTTTTCTCTCCTTGAAGGAACCTCAGAGATCATCTAGTCCCCGGTCTCTCATTTTGTAAATGAGAAATTTGAGGCCCAGGGAGATTAAGAAATAATAATTATTATTCTTGTTCTAACAATAGTTATAACAACAGCTAGCATTTACATATACAGAACCTGCTATGTACTAGGCACTGTACTAAGCACTTTACAAATATTATCTCATTTGATACAATAATTTTGAGAGTTAGATGCTATTATCTCCATTTTCCAGATGAGGAGACAATCAGCCCAGAAGGACCGATGACTTTCATATCTGGAACTTCTGCCATATTTGACATGCATCCTCCCCACCTCCACCCCCGCTGGTGAGTGCCTTAGTGCCAGCTATCTATACCAGCTCCAGTCATGCTTCCTTTTACGTCCTGATCACTGTCTTGCCAGCCACCCCTTCCTCCACTGTTTCCAGTTCTGGAACCATAATCAAATCAGTATTGCCATTGCTGTTGGAAAGAGTATGAATCTACTTCCCTATGCCTTCAGTCACCATCCTTGTAACTTTCCAAGCCCAGATCCTCATTCTGCTGTAGTTACTTAATATAATGTAAGGTCATTGAGAGTAGGAACTGTCTTGGCTTTTGTATTTGTATCCCCTACAGCACTGCACTGTGCACTTGGCAGATAGAAAGAGCTTAATAAATAATTTTTCACTCACTCATTCATTCATTCATTCATTCATTCACTTATTCTTTTTTCAGATAGCTTGCTATCTAGCCACACTGTCCCCATCAAAGATGTATGATGTTGAATTTTTAAACCCAGGTTTAAGATTTTATATTGATACCTATTTAATTTAATCTGTTGGATTTTGCCCAGTCTTCTAGCTTGTCACAATCTTTTTGCACTCAGACTTTGTCAGTGTGTTAGTCAAAGATTTTATCATCACATGCTACATAGGTAGAGTCTCATGAATCCTGGTGAAGTCTGTGTTTGTGTAGGGGGGGGAAGGGAGGGAGGGAGAGAGAGAGAGAGAGAGAGAGAGAGAGAGAGAGAGAGAGAGAGAGAGAGAGAGAGAGAGAGAGAGAGAGAGAGAGAACAATTGGGGTAACAATTGCGGTACAGATGAGATAACTGCAGGGAAAATGAGAAAACAGAATCCCACTCAGAGGGTTGTTCCTTTATGGTTTTTCAAGGCCATTGTTGGTGGTTTGCTTATTTATGTCAAAATTTTTTCATGTTAACTTTTCTTCAGTAAGTACCTCTGCTAGAGTTAAACAGGGTTTAGATCTCTTCTTTCCATCACTGCCTTCTCATTCAAATGGGAGGAACACAGTGCATTCCTGCTGTGTGGTAATAATGTTTTGCAAGTCTTTGACATACTTGACACATTCATTTATCCTTTTATATGTGTATATATATATATATATATATATATATATATATACACACACACACACACATACATATATACATATATACACATATATATGTATATATGTGTGTGTATATATATGTGTGTATATATGTGTATATGTGTATATATGTGTGTGTGTGTGTATATATATATATATATATATATATATATATATACATGTATATGTTTTTTAAGACTAGGTCTTCCTATCTCCTTCAGCCTGGAAGTGCAGTGGCCACTCATTGATTCTTGCAAATTAAAAGGTCAAGAGGGAGAAAAATTGACAAGAATTTCCAGTCCAACCCGTTGGGCTTTTTCTTGTCCAGTTCCATGTCTTAATTTTTGGTCCCCTAGGCCCTTAAGGGCATTTTAATTTGCTGTCCCCATTAACTGAATTTTCTTCCCTGCTTTTCAGGTCACCAATCTGCCTTAATTCACAGTTACTCCCTAGAAGCTTTAACAAAATTTCTCTTGCTTATAAGTTTTTGTTTTTTTAAGTCCAGATCTGTGATTTCTTCAGTGTAAGAGATTCCAGGTATGGAAGCTCTTTCCACCCATGAAGATTAACAACTCAAGTATCACTTAAAAGTCTTAGAGAGTTGACTGGAGAGCTCTGAGAAGTCAAGTCTCTTGCTTGGTCACATTGCTAGGATAAGTCAGGTCTTTCTGACTTCAAGGCTGGCCCTCTATCCTCAACATTATGATTCCACACACTCTATTACTCTGTCTCCACATTTCCGAAATCACAAATGAAGTTGCTGGCCTATTCTTTATGTTGTTCAGTTGTGTCTGACTCTTTGTGAGCCCATTTTGATTTTTGTTGGCAGAGATATTGGAATGGCCTGCCATTTCCTTCTCCAGCTCACTTTTACAGATGAGGAAACTGAGGCAAACTGGGTTAAGTGACTTGCCCAGGGTCACATGCTAGTAAGTGTCTCAGGCCAGACTTGAACTCAGGTCTTCCTAATCCCAGGCCTGGCACTGTATCCACTTTGCCACCTAGCTATCCCTATTCTCAACAGGCCACTCTAAAAAAAAAAACACCAAATACAATGAAAAAGAAAAAGAAAACAAAGAATGGGATAAAGTGCTACTTTGAAGGCAGACTTTGCTCCTCAAATTCTGAGGTCTGGTCATAGCCTCCTGCCCTTTTACATACATGACACTCCAAGCTCTCCCTTTGCACTGGGGACTGTCCCTTGTGCCTGGAACGGGCTTTCTTCTCAGTTCTGCCTCTTGGAACCCCTGGTTTCTTTCAAGCTTCAGCTCAAGGGCTGCTTTCTATATAGCCTTTCTTGATGCCCTCGAGTGCCCGCCTTTTATTCATTTTTTTTATGTTCTGTATACATGTTAGAAAGTCAGTTACTTCAGGGCAGGAACTGGTTTACAGTGATCTCTGCATCCCCAATGTTTAGCACAGAGCCTGGTGCCCCAAAGCTCTTAAAGAATATTGTAGATTGACTGATAGTCTTCACCCTCAATCTTTGCCTGGAGGAATCCAGGTCAGACTTTTTTTTGAAAGTCCTTCGGGCTTCACAGAGGGAAGATGCTGCAGAGTCTGCCCAATGTGTTTATTAAATGGCTTAAATCTTGGTAATAAGACAGTCAAAACTATCCCCATGATTTATACATATGCTGGTTTGTAGGTATTTGTGTGGGTCTGTGTCACTTCAAGACAAGAGTCTGTTGGGAACCAGGGCCCCTGCACTAGTGATCTAATGAGCGCTCTCTGGAAATAGCAGCCATTCTGCCTTGTCTCGTGCACTGATTTCCCAGGGCTTTTTGGGGAGGGCAATGCTTCTGGAATCACCTCTGTTTGAATTCTCCAGCTGTTGAACAAAAGAAGTACCTACTAAAACTTGAGAGAGGACAGCTGGTAGTTAGTTCCCTGATCTGTAAAGTTAACCTCTCATGGTTAACTCGTCAACCCAGCTGAGGGATGCTTCTGAGCCCAAGCACCCCGTGCTGCTTCATGAAAACATTACCCATCGTTATCAACCCACCGTGTACCTCACTGACAAAGCATTGTTTGCTGAGTGGGTCCATTCCTACTGAATTTGAAAATAAATGAAATAATAACGACAACTCATATGTATTTAGCATTTTAAAGTTTGCAAAGTGATTTATGTAAATCATGCATATGTGATTTCATTTGCTCCTCATGAATATCTCTGTGAGGTAGATGTTATTATTATCCACATTTTACAGATGAGGAAACTGAGACTTAGATTAAATGGCTTCTCTAGGGTCATATCGCTAGTTTGAAAAAAAAAAAGCACAATCTGGTCCAACAAAAAGTCCTGTGTCAAGAGGGAAAAACACTTTTGCAGAAAGGGATATACATGTTTCTGGGTTATGCTTCTGAAAGCAGGCTGTTATCAGGGCAACAAGATAGTTGACTCTGTACTTGAATCCCGTCTCTGTATATAGGTGGCCTTTTGAAGACCCACAACATACTGTGGAGTCAAATAAGCAGAACTGAAGAGGAGTTCTCATATTGTGGATATTTATTTGGGGATATTGGGGATAGTTATTTATTTTTAGTGGCTTTTTTTTTTTTTGGTAAGGCAATCGGGGTTAAGTGACTTGCCCAGGGTCACACAGCTAGTAAGTGTCAAGTGTTTGGTCTGAGGTCAGATTTGAACTCAGGTCCTCCTGACTTCAGGGCTGGTGCTCTATCCACTGCGCCACCTAGCTGTCCCAGGGGATAGTTATTTCTTAAAAGAAGCACTAAGAGGCTGAACCTCCATCAGCAATTCGACCCATGTTTCCTCTGGCACAGTGTCTATTATTTGTTGGAAACCACGATATGACACTGGACTCAGAATCAGAAGACCTTATGGCTACTCTTTACTAGTCAGAAGAGCTGTAACAAAGGCAGGGTGAATAGACTTTTGCTACATGGCATCAACATGGGGTGGGGCATTTTTTTTTCTGGCATTTATCCTTTGGCATCCATTAGATTGTGAGCTACTTGAGAGCAGATATTCTTTTTTGCCTTTATTTATATCATCCTCAATGCTTAGCACAATGGCCAGCACACACTATGTGCTTGTTGACTTCTGACTGCCATGCCGTCCTTTGCCATTCTCTTCCAGCCTATGCCCCATGGCATGAATTCTCCTTGTTTCTCTTCTTGAATCAGGGGATCACCTCAGGAGACTTATTGCTGTGGTGCCCTCCTGCTAGGGTCTTCTTCCAAGACCCCCAACCTCCAGTCACTGCCTGCTTTCTCCTCCCCTCCTAGGAGTAAAGAGAGGCTATAGGCCATCCTGTAGTGTCATTGACCAGAATCTCTGGGTGTGGGCACTTATCTCTTCTCTTGGCCTA